CCGGGGCCTGCCTCTGACGCTTCAGAAGGACTCGGTGGCTCTCTGATGTCCTTCCAGCTGCGCTGCCTGCACGCGCGCCGGGGCGGTATCGCAGCGTGGCAGCCCGGCCGCGGGTGGGAGCGTGGGATTGCTGGAGGTGGGTGTGAAGTTTGGGAACAGCTCGAGGAATTAACCTCAGTCATAAATGCCCAGCTGCATCGGCACTTTAGCTGCCCTGGAAAAGGCAGAAAGGCTCCTAACACGGCTCTTCACTTAAGGTTTTATTGCTGGACTCACTCTCACTTCGAGACCACGGATGTAAGAAATCCCATGGGACGGAGGACAGCAGCTCCCAGCATCCCGTCTCTGGAGCTCTGCCACAGCCGCAGGGCCTGGGCGAGGCTCTTTCTGTGCCTCAGTTTCCTTTCTGCAAAATGCAGATGGATGCTTTTAATGCTCATGATTTCATTGCAGACCTCAGAACGGTTTTTTTTTTTTTTTTCCCCTAGAGCCCCGTGGTCACACGTTTGAGTACAAATCTTCAGCATTCGCTTAAAAGGAGAAGCTTACGGCCCACGTTATTGCTGAGGAGAGCTTAAAAAAGATGAAAAGTACAGAAAATTGAAAAAAAAAAAAAGAGAAAACCCCGCCCAATCGGCAGTGCATTATATTAATGAAAGAAATTACAATAGCAATGACAGCATCAACTTGAGAGTGTTGCTCTGGGTTCCCCCCTCTGCAGCCCCTAATCCCTCACCCAACCCAGCGGAAACTGTGTCCTTTTGTGCCCTTCCTTATGCAACGGGAAGAGGGGCCTTTCCAAGGTCTCTGTTGCTCCCTGTAAATTATGTACCAGAAGGCACCAACACTTGGAAGACTTGAAGAAACACACAGTTCTCTCTCCTCCTGTTGCTAGGATTCACAGCTCTACCCCACCGCTTTCCAGGGCTTGGGTTCCTATTTTGGCTGTAGGAAAAAAAAGAAACCTTGTTGCTTCCAGGCTCTGCATCAGGCTAAACAGCTCCAACACGAACCTTTACAATATTGCTACAGTCAGGCATGAAATCTTAATGTATGATAGCGCCTTGAGTCTTATATTCTTCTGAAAAAGGTGAGTCCCTAGTAGTAAATGAAATATTAAATATTATTAAATATGAAATAGCTAAACCTGGATTCCATTAAAATGAATCTTTCATAGTTTTCCTGTTTTTTTTTCCCTACTTTTTTCCCAGGGAGTGGTCTCATGAGCTTTTATGTGTCCTTTAAAAGACAAAAAAAAATCACAGGTAATTTATAAATCTATTCTATTCAGATTTATTTTAGCTGGAAGACAAATCAAGGATGTGAGCCTCTCTCACAGATGCATCTATCTCTCTGAACTAGGTAACAGCCTATATCAAGGGCTCCCCTAAAGATAGCGGGGGAATGGCTGCTGACACGTGCCACCTATTTAGAAATCTTGTATTCAGTTACACACGCTACTTCCATTTAGAATGGCTTTAATCTTCCTCTATTATGATAAAAACACCTCTTTTCATATAACATAGGGTACGTTTAGAGTTGTTTCTGTTGTGCAGGCAGGTTTGCTGGGAGTTAAACTGTGACTTAAGCGGCAGCGCTGATTTGGGCCCCGGCAGCTGGGCATGTGAAACAACCACGTCAACAAGCACCAACCTAAACCAACCTATAGAGCTGCCGTTTGCTTGGGAAAGGCTGATCCTGAGAATATGACTCATATAGGAAAGTCATCAGAAGACAGACCACCAGACCACCAGCTGGGAGTAAGAGACCTTCAAACACCTATTTCCCCTGAGAATCGGGCTCCTAAAATCTACCCCAGCGTTGCACTTTGCTGATCTCCGGACCATAACGTTACTTATGTCAGCAGGATGTTTTGAGGCTCATTTCAGCTGCATTGTGCAGTTTTGAGACCTTTCACCAGACAACATGATGCATGAGCCTGTGACTGCACAAGTAGCACAGGACAGTCAACAGGATAAACCTTTACTTAGCATTATTGCTATATTTTGTGGCAAGAGCATTTGCAGCTCAAAATTTCTAAATATATGAGCATCTTTGCAGGCTGGCTGAGTCCCTGAGGCTGAAATGGACACAAAGGTACACAGTTCTCGTTAGCTGTATTTATGTCCTTGCATTCAGAATTTAAGCCTTTCCTGTTATTATTAACTGCGGTATTTCAACAGGATTGATAGGGACTTTTACAAGAGGATGGAAGAAGGAGCACCTAGATTTGCTAGCAGGTTCCCAAACCCTGGCTTCACACTAGAGTATTCCCTCAGCCAGAACCGCAGGAACTGCTAAGTAAAGCTGGGTCTGGGGGGAGTTTGCATTTCTAGCGTGCACTGTAATTCTTGACCCTTTCGGCTGCTGCGTTACGATCTCCAAAACATGCATGTATTAATTCGTCAGTCTACAGACACACATTTGGACTGGAAGGCAATAACTACTAGGAACGATGAGCTAAAATGACAAAGAAGGTGCAACATCATTAATTATTAATTATTGCTGTTCCATTTTGCGCAAAAAGCCTTCTACCTTGCTTTCCGTTCTGCCTCCTTTAGGTCACTGCCAAAGCTAGGCAAAGCAGGAGGCTGAAATGGTCTCCCCCCTGCATGGATCTGCACTCGTGACTCTGCCGCTCCGCTCTCGCCTCTCCGGTTTTCGTAGCTACGCCCTCCGGGAATGGAGGCAAAGTGGGGAAAAGAGAAACCGGCTCCCCAACAAAGTGGGAGAATCCAGTTTCAGATTTTTTTTTACACTGCTTCACAGATTTCTAAAAAAAGAAAAAGAGCAAATTACACCAGATTATTTTCTCTGTTTAAATACCAGCATTTTCTTTCCCATGCGCTGCGACTTCAGCTGAGATGGCAGAAGCGTTCAGCCAATTACCGTCTTCTCGCAGCCTGATCAGAAGCATACGCTCTTCGTCTGGTTTTGTAAGGGCTTTCGATTCCTGCTTTTGCCCTGACACCCTGGGGATGGAGAGGAACAAATCCCAACTTTATTATTTATTTATTTTAATGCACTGCCGTTGGCCAGCTCACGTTTTCGCCAGAAAGATTTCAACTTAGCTTAGCGCAACGGAGAACCACTATGAAGCTTAGACACGAACATGTCAAATAAGTGATCCACATGCGAGTCGATAGACGTGACATTTAGTAATCATCTTTCTTGGACAAAATGGGGCAGTGCTGTCACTTTAAGTAAATCTCAGTCAAATTTCTGGCATTCTACCACAGGGCAAGCGGGAGGCATAATAGTAAATTTCTCTTTAAAAAGTATAAAAGATCAACCTTGGAAAAAAGCAGTTGCCACATTTTAAGGTGTAATACCTCATCCTAGCTTGGTCAACCGTTTACTTTCTGCTGATATCAATATGTCACCCCTAATGTTTACTGATGTTCACTTTATAAATGACTTTTCCTAGCTGTCAGAATATCTGTCACCAGCATCTCTTCCCCCTCTTTGCTTCTCGCCCCTGTAATAAAGATTAATAACTGTGGGGTTAACTAGAAAGATCAGATACTACATAAATGACATCACGGGTCTGATATCTAAACAAGATGAACATGTAACGGCTGAGATTATGTGAGCAAATTGGGCAATTCCTAGCGTAAATGAACAGAACACAGTTGGCTTTTGCAGAGTCAGATAATACAAGTGCACTTTCAAAAGGATTGTATACTTGGACACACTTTAGGGCTTGTGAAGGTTCATTCACTCAAGAACAGTAAATGTTCAAAGCAAAAATACGTGAGTTTAGATTCTACAGCTGTACTGAAGTACTCACATGTTTTAAAGATATGCAGAATAGGGATTCTGCTAAAAATAAGGCACATCATTGGTTTTCTATATTTGTAGTCCACCAGTGACTTCTGTATTAAATGGTTTCAGTCTATGACTCCAAACAAGATTTTTCAACCTGTCATTCCTGCAGCTCAACCTGCTATATGAAATCCTAAACATGATCTCTCCGCTTTGTACATTTTTGACAAACACCCAGAGTAATGATTCCAGAATGGAAATTTAGCTGGCAATTTTATGGGTGAAGCACAAAACAGTTATTTTGGCTCTGCAATGCTAAGAGTGGTGAACATGCGTTTTGCTCCTGAATTGCAAGGTGTGATCTGGAAGACACAGTGGAACAGATCACGGGCTCTTTACATAAGCTACGCTGCCAGTGGTTCAAGTAAGGTTTTGCCCGACTGTGAACTACAGGATCAGATCAAAACATAGGACCATACCTATGGACCAAAACTCCAGGATAACACCAAAACAGCCATCTGTAGAGGTCAAACTTAAAGAGCTACTGTTCTGACTGCCACTGTTGTCTGTAGCTGTAGAGCTACTGTTCTGACTGCCACTGTTGTTGTCTGGGAGGACCCAAACCCACCTGCCCTGCATTCAGGACAGCGTCTCCTTCGCTGGGCTGGAGGCTATTTTGGATACATGAACAT